TAACTGAGTTCCAGAGTTGACCCTGGACTATTACACCTAATCCCTACCTGACCAATTGTGACCTCAGGATGCCAGGTTTTCCTCTGTGCTTCACAGCCATTCACACTGGTCTTCAGAGCAATAAAGAACCCCAAGATGACCATGGTTTTCAGTACTTGTTTCTTTCAACATTTCATTATATACACAACATCAATATTTCTTTCTTGGTTTCTGATGTTTTTATTCTAAATTTTCTTTCCTTGCAATGTATTCTGATTAGTTTTCCCTCTCAAATTACCTCACAGATGTTCTCTGGCATTCCAACTTTATGCCTTCTCTCTCTTTAGAAAACCAGCAGGCAAATATAACCAACCAACCAACAAATAAACAAACAAGAATAATTTGAAGAAACAAAAACGAAAAAGCATGAGACACTCATATGCATACGTTGAAACACACACACAAACAAAACCCATAAAAATATCACAGTATAGGAAACTGTGGTGATTATTTGTGTACAATCTAACAACGTTTGCCTAAAGATCAGAGGGCAAATTCAGCCACAGTAGTTAGTCATAGAGTCCAGACAGTGGTGGTACACACTTTTAGTTCCTCCAGCCTCAATAGTTAGCCATAGATGCCTGGCAGTAAGAAAATTCTCACATCTGGGAAAGAATAATAGCTCCTCTGTATATCAGTTCCTATTAGTAGAGTTGATCAAGCTGCTTGCTGTGATGTAGTCAGCTTAAGAGATCCACCAGCTCAGAAGTGACCTTTCTCAGATTTTCCACTGTTGTGTGGTAAACATAGTTTAGTGTCTAATGAGGTCCATTTCTCAAGTTCCCCTGCAATGTTTTCTTAAAAAGTGTGTGTGTGTGTGTGTGTGTGTGTGTGTGTGTGTGTGTGTATTCCAGGATATCCAGGAACTTATTCTGTACACTGTGGCTGGCCTGACTCACAGAGATCTACCTGCCTCTCCCTACAAATTCAGGGATTAAAGGCCTGTGACACCACCACCCATCTAAAAAACACTGCTTCATAAATGGTGCCCAGAAGAATAATGAAGATCTGTATGAGTCACAGCTTGAAACTCAAGTCCATGTATTTTAAGAAAAGCAGAAAAACAGTAAATTCCTAATTTGCCTTGTATTATAAGGGGATTGTTATTGTAATGCTTTTAATTAACTTTCATCTCAAAGTCTGGTCTAGAAAATTCTTATCTTGTCATTGATACTTACTTGCTAGTATTTCATTGATATTCGGTTTGTGTCTTTATAAAGACTCATGAGTTCAGTCATCAGAATCTTATTTTAAAATCTTTTTAGAAAAAATTCTAGCTCCAAGTGTTACAGTATCAGAAAACACTAAATGACCATAGACTCAGTTTTAATTGAAATTAACTGAATTTTTATTTTTACTGAGCCTCTGCCTACTAAGCCCAGGTTTGTTTATGGCTTCATAGAGACAACAATTGGCAATATTAGAAAAAGTTAGTGCAGTGACAGAATGGGTAGGAAGCAACGGAAGGCATCCCACTCTATGATGTGCACATTATCTGTAGCACCTATGCTTGCACAGGACAAGATGTATTCTCTACACTGAAAACTAAGTGTTGTTCACACTCTGAATATACAAGTGCTAAATGACAAATGGTACTGTGCAATATACACTCAAGTAAGTTACCCTGTACCTTTGCTGGGATAATGCTGTCTGGAAATGATTCCAGGGAAAAGAAAGAAATCAGCAGACAGGTCTACCTCCAGCCTGGAGGCTCTAGTGTTTCTCAGGGTACTAAGACTCAGACTCCAGACCATTCCAAGTATCTCAAGGGCATTAGGTGTGATAGTTGATGGAAAGACAGCAGGGGTGACCTCTTAGATTGCAGACTCCATTAACACAGATAATGTGGGTTCACAGCAGACATTCTTGTTGGTATTCATTATTGAAGGAGGCATGTGGCAAAAATAGAGTACCACATTGCTCTTGAGGAAGAAAGATACTAGAAGCATTTCATATTGTAGTTGATATAACAATCTGTGTTGACCAGTGACATACAACAACTGTATCAAATAAACTAGTAAAGAATTTGTAACTCTACCCTGTACAACCCCTTTAGCCTCAAATATCACAGAATACTTATTACTGTACTGCAAACATAATATGTTGTTACTGAAGTCAGAGGACATTTCATCTTAAATAATTAACTTGTGTCCTGGGCAAAATAAATTATTGAGTTAATCAAATGTGGGTTCATCCATTTGAAATGTACTTATCTAAGGATGTAGTTCCTCTGTTTTCAGGTAGAGTTAGAATGAGTGCTCTAAGTGTCAATCAGCAAACACATGACACAATACCATTGACCAACCACCCCACTAACATTTTCCAGAGTTGAAAGCCTCTGTTGCCTTTGTCTCCAGAATTTCCATCCAAACCCTCTCCCTATTGCAACTTCTTGACCCTTGATAAATAATTTCTCAGGAGTTGAAGATATGCAGGAGTCGAAGATACTCTAGGAGAAATAGACTCACCAACCAAAGAAAAATATTAAGTACAACAAATCCCTAATACAAAATACCCAGGAAATATGGAATACCATGAATAGACCAAACTTAAGAATAATAGGTATAGAAGGTGAAGAAATCCAACTCAATGTCGCAGAAAACATATTCAACAATATCATAGAAGAAAACTCTCCCAACCTAAAGAAAGACATGGTAATGAAAGTACAAGAAGCCTACAAAACACCAAATAGACCAAACCAAAATAAAAGTTCCCTTCGACACATAATATTTAAAAACCCAATCATACAGAATGAAGAGAAATTATTAAGAGCAGCAAAGGAAAATGGTCAAGTAACATATAAAGGTAAACCTATCAGAATTACACCTGACTTTTCCATGGAAACTCTGAGAGCCAGAAGGTCCTGGATAGATATTCTATCTACACTAAGAGACCATGGATGCCTGCCCAGACTACTATACCCAGCAAAGCTTTCAATCAACATAGGTAGAGAAAACAAGTTATTCCATGACAAAACCAGATCCAACCAATACATATCTACCAATCCAGCCCTACAGAAAGTTCTGGAAGGAAAACTGCAACCCAAGGAAGTTAGCTACAACCAGAAACATATAGGCAATAGATAATCCCACTTTACCAACAGCCAAAAGGAAAAAGGAATAGAATCCCACACATAATTTCACCACCACCACCAAATCCTATAAAAAGACACAGATTAGCAGAATGGATAAGAAGACAGATTCCATCCTTCTGCTGCATACAAGAATCACACCTCAACTTCAAAGACAGATGGTACCTAAGGATTAAAGGTTGGGAAAAGGTTTTCCAATAAAATGAATTCAAGAAACAAGTGGGAGTAGCAAACCTAATATCCAACAAATTGGTCTTTAAACTAAAATCAATCAAAAGTAATGAAGGAGGTTGCTTCCTACTCATCACAGAAGAACTCCATCACCATGAAGTCTCAAATCTTAACATTTATGCCCCAAATACAAAGGCATCTACATTTGTAAAAGAAACATTACTAAAACTTAAATCACACATAAAACTGCACACTCTTGTAGTGGGAGACTTCAACACTCTACTCTCACCACTAGACAGGAACACCAGAGAGAACAAAGGAACTAAT